CTCCTTTACTTGAATGATGTGTAGATCAGTGCTGGCATCGAGACACCCTACTACCTGGAACTGTCGAGCAGGAAGAAGCAACATTTCTTCTTCTGCTTCGAAGTATGAATGCTGTTGAATGTCTTTGGCCGAGTCACAGTCGATGCTAAATAGGGTCCGCCTGCCCGTTTTGCCGAAAAACTCTTCATTTTCCAGCGCTTGAATGGACCTTGTACAGGAACTGAAAGCCCACCACACGAACTGTTTACCTTTTGAATACTGGTTGCTGATATCTCCTTTAACTCCTCGAAAGACGGTGCTAGAAGTCGACGGAAGTTTTGAAAGAGCTGTGAAAATGAGCTTCAGATACAAAAACCAGGGCTTTAGTTTACGACGATCTTGACAACGGAGAGTTGAATTCAAGACGACATAAAGACATTCGCTGAGAGGCTCCCACTCCATTGTGTAAATCATGATCGAGGCTGATTCATCAAGTGTCAAACCATCAGAGGGTGGATTATTACATCGGTGTTTCGTGACATGGACGTAGGTTTTAATTTCAGGCAATATGTGGATGAGCGGCTCTATAGCTCGTTCGAGTGATACCAACTCCATTTGGTCAAAGCCCTGGATAGGCATTAACATTTTTTTAGGTTCTTCAGCAATGTCCGAAAAGCGCTGAGTAATGTCAATACGGGTCGTGGCCATTTTTCAAACACGAAGGGGAAACAACAATAAATCTTGAAGGAAAGAGACATCCAATGCAGTTTTTACGTTGTATAGAAAAAACGAAGAGATGATTTCTTTGAATGATATGGTCATGGAACCAAAAAGAGAACATTCAGAATGATAAAATTATAAGGAACTTTCTGATGATCAAGTAGTAGAGCAGGCAGCGAATGGAATAATTATCGCAGGAAAGCGACTACGTCAACATTGTGAATATATAGCTCGCCAACTATTAGCCGTGAAAAACTACAAGAGAGAAGAAATTTACAAGCGTTGCATTCAGCTATACACAACGGAATGCTTTCTATACAAACTAATAAATAAAGCACTGAGAGATACCGACGAGAGCAAAGTAAACACTCTCGGACCGTTTTGCTACACTCTATTCAGAAGCTGGCTAAAAAAATGCGAAACACGCAGCAGAACTCTATCGAAGTGTAAACATCGACGAGATCACACTCAAATCATATGCGGAAACGACTGGCCAGAAGATAAGCTGGAACGGATTTACCTCAACTAGCCAAAACCGTCAAAAAGCGCAAAAATTCTGCAACGCCTTATTCATTATCGACGCGACAGAACAGAGCGGCATAGACATATCCACGTCTTCCCGATATGACGCAGAAGAAGTCCAACTTCGCCCAGGAACAGCATTTACAATCCTGGAGGTGAAGAAAACCTTTAAAAGTACAATAGGGTCTTTTTATTATACGAAGTTAGGTAAATTGTATTGCTAATATAGCTTGAAAAACATACTTTATCTTCGTAGTTTTCTATTTATTTATTTACAATCAAGACGTTTCGATCGTCATGTGCAATTTTCTTCAATAAAACATAAAATTAATAAAATAAAAATATAAAATGTACATGTACAACAAACAATTTTCTATTACATTGTGGTGTGCACAGTAGATGTTAAAACTGTAGTGTGACAAGTCTGTTTCTCTTCATATATTTATACTTATACTTTATCTTTTTCTTGTCAATGGACTAAACTAGGACGACGAAAGGGTAAAAGAATTTGGCTGTTTTATTTTATTTTAGTGACTCAGATTAAAATATCCCACGTAAATATATAACGTCGAAGATGACCTTTTCTTAAATAAAATAAAAGTACAACTTTAATAAGCCGATTATTGAAGAATGTATTAATAGACTAAACATGTATATGAAAAATCTCTCAGGTTCAACGAAAATCACTCCTTATAGTTATGCCTATTCTGTTTCCTAAATTCACATGTAGCATTTAGGTTTCCTTGTGTGGTTTCTGTAGTTGAGTTGCTAATATCCTTAGTTACATTTACTGGAAGCACGATAGTATTGAACAAGGAGTGTTTTACATCGCTGATTTCTTGAAGCACGATAGTGTGGTATTCATTCTCAATTAATCTCTATCATTAATCAACTCTTCTATGCACACAGACACTTACTTCACTCATCCTGGAATATGCTCATATCAGAGCAGAAGGGGCCAAATACCTTTCTGATGTCTTACTCCTAAACAAGGTAATTTTCATCTTCTTACCTTGGATCCGATTATGACCTTCTCCGGTATCCATAGACGCTCAACGCGCTGTTCTTGGGTAATGTGAGATTTAGTCGCCTCGGTACTAGGCGCTATACCTCGCACACATGTTGAAAACAAACACGGTAAATCTCATTCTCACTTATGCGCCCATGTGTTGATATCAGAGACCGGAAACGAGCCCTGTTCTCGGTGACTCGACTCAGTAGAGTCGATATGACATTGTTAGAGAGTATTTCGAGTCGAGTCGAGCCGAACTTGCTGGAGTCGACTCCTCAGAGAAAAGAGAAAATCTATCCTTTGTGTTATAAAACGGGAAGCGAACAGGTGATTACTCACGGCTCTGAAAAGTTTGCCGATTCGATTTTTGAGAAAGCTAGAGTAAACCGTGTAGTTCGTAAGATAAATGCATATGCAATTTGACGACTATAGCTGTGAAGACAGCTGATAAAGAAAGCAAAGTTTTACATATCTTATTTGTTTTTCTCTCGATGCGTTTTCACAGAATTCTCAAACAATTTAGAGTTTGAGAAAGTTCGTAGCTCGAGTTTGTTGTTGCTCCATAGAGAGAGTTATAGGCAAATAGCTGGACTTTTCCCTTTCCTTTTCGGGTATCTTTTTGTGTTATATATGTACAGGCAGAAACAAAAAAATGTGCGGTTTCTATATATTTCTTCTCTGATGAAAGAATAGAGAAAATGCCAGAAAGTGCCCTGTCTTTTAAGAAATCTGTGTAAATGCGCATGAAAACGTTTAAAGACTCTGAAACAAAGAAATCAGTCCTAAAGTAAACAAAAAAAAAATAAACACGCAATTTTTACTCGGGAAAAAACAACACTTCGCAGGTAGATAGACCGAACATTTCTCTATCTACTAGTGTAAAAATCTTGTTAAAGTTCAATAAGATTAATTAGTACTCATCAATTTCCAGAGAGCTCCTATCAAATGTCCAGGATTACCCCATTTGGGGTAATTATGGACAGTCCAGCAAAAATGGCTGGAAGAAAGTAAAACAACTTGTTGTCAACGACAAAGTTTTACCTTTCTGATTAAAAACTATATCATCTTGTAGAGAATTTTGAGCTCTATCTACCTTGTAAATTGCTAGTCTTTTGGACACATCCTTGATTAATTAATTAGAAATTGCGAAATTAAACAAACATAGTCGTTTTTTCTATTTTTCTTGCTTAGGGTAATTATGGACACTCCGTGCAAATCGCACGGGATAGACAGAAAACAACTTCTGCTGTCTTTCAGAAACAGATTTTGATACCATGCTAAACGGCACAATTGTTCAGAACCATGAGCTCTATTAAATATGTAAAACCGGATAAAAAAAGTGTATTTTCATCGTTTTCTGTAAAGAATTTGAATACTGCTGTTTTTGAACAGTCTTTCGTTCATTAAAATTATAAGAAACATTTTAATTAGAATCTTAATTAACAACCAGATCACGAACAAGTTCAACTTTTCACAAACCTCGTACAATTCTCTTCATGTTACATCAAACGTTCTTTTAAAACAGCTTACCTAAGGTCAACTGTTTCTGAGTGAATAGTCAAGAGTCGGGAATATTTTATTACAATTTCTGCGCTTTTTGCTGGGTCAATATTTCAACGGAGACTTGTGACTTCCCAACTACATTATGGAGAAAACTGATAAGTACTGACTACTATTGTTCAGAAATTTTGTACGAAGTTCTAGCTGTATGAGAAGTGTTGCGACAGTTCTTAATATTGGAGGTAAAATTATAACAACTGCGTATGGCTTGAAACTGAATCAATCAAATTTAACGAAAAGAAATGCTATTCTCATTAATGATCTTAAAAAGATGCTAAGGAATTTAAATGCAAGGTGAAGTAAAAAAACCGCTCGGCATATATAAATACAGAGGAAACACTGTTATTCCTTACAATATCATTAATCCTACACTCGCTTTTACACATCTTAATGCCTCGAACATACGTTAAAAAAGGCCAAGTACCTCGCTATTCAAATGAAGACTTTCAACTTGCACTCAAAGAAATTTCTGAAGGCAGTGATATTCATGCTGTTATGTAGTGAATCCTTTTATTAAAAGTACTGTACAATGTGACTACATACCGTACACTGAGGAAAACAGTTAGTATTTATAGGTTATAGAGAGAGAGCAGAAGAGAAGAGAAAATCATACCATAGAAATATTTCACACAGTTAAATAATGAGGAGAATATCATACCATAAAAGAATGTTTAAACAATGAATAGAATATCGATACATATCGAACCATACATGCGTACATGGTAAAGAAAATGAAAACTAAAACTGTTCTTCGGAGCGCCCTTTACACGTCCCACGGGGCTAGATGAAGCGTCCCGCTCATCTGTGCTAATCACGCATCAGTTCCATTTGATTTTATCAATGTGCACCACCTTTGTAGTGTCATTGAATTTGTGTTTCACCTACCTCGTAGTTCAGTCGTCCCGTTTGCTTGATGACTTCATATGGTCCGTCCCATTTTGGGAAGAATTTCTTCATTTTGTGTGGGGTTTGTTCAACAAAGATTAATTGGCCTATTGCCAGGGTTCTGTCTCGACGGCCTGTATCATAATGTTTTTTGTATATAGTTTGTTGATGTTTTATGTTTTGTTTGGCGGTTTGTTTCGTTTCCTCTAAACACCGAATTAGTTGCACATAATAGTCATTTGGCGCGGTAAATATGATATTGTTCTTTGGTGGATCAAATGGTAACACCAAATTTCGTCCAAACACTAATTTTGATGGCTCTAGACCGGTCGTGGAGTGTTTGGTTGTGTTGTACGAATGGGTAACGAAACTAATATATTCATCCCAATTTGCTGGATGTTTATGTGTTAAAGTACCAATCCGTTCCACTAATGCTGCGTTCCACCTGACCATTCGTTTGAGGATGATAAGCTGTTGATCGTAGATGCTGTATACCCAATCTTGACGCCACTGCTTCATAAACCTGGCCGGTGAAATGTGAACCATTGTCTGTTACCACCACCCTTGGTGTACCGTGAACCAACGTCACTTGTTCTACTAAAAATTTCGCGGCTGTTGTGGCGGAACAATCTTGGCATGGTTGTGCAATAATATATTTTGATAAATAATCATTACATACCAAGATATACTTGTGCCCTTGGGTTGATGTTGGAAGTGGATCAATAAAATCCATGTTGATTTTTTCGAATACACCTTGAGGAATCTCAGTTGGTTGTAAATGTCCTGCTGGTGTTCGCCGTGATATTTTGTACTGTTGACATAATTGGCATGAACTAATGAATGATTGTATTGACGAATGCATGCCCGGCCAGTAGTATCGATCACGCAGTTTATTCCATGTGCCGGTGACACCTACGTGTGCCGCAGTAGGATGGGTATGATGAGCCATCAGTAAATCGTTCACCAACATCCGAGGCACATATGGTAATTGCAAGGGTGTTGTTGTGCTACGTTGAATCAATTTATATACTACACCGTTGTCCAAAATGAAAGATTTAACCTGTTGGCCATTGAATAATTGCTGGCGTATCCTTTTAATTGTCGGATCATTCAATTGTTCGTGTTCAATCTTAGTTGGATCAAAGGATATTAATGTTTGGCGGCGAGCTGGTAAGGGGCTAGTGGTAAGGTTATTCACTTCAGCGTTCTGTTCAAGAGACGAGTTGATCTTGGGTGGATGCATAATATCGAGTTGCTTGTCAGCAAGATCATCCGGTGGATCTGATGGGTAACGCGATAAGCAATCAGCTACGCAATTACGTTTACCAGAGACATGTTTCACGTCAAAGGTGTATTCTTGTAATTGTAATGACCATCTTTCTAAGCGTCCATTGTGTGATGATTGTTTATTGAGCCAACACAGTGGGTGGTGATCAGTGAATACTGTGAAGTCCTCTCCATATAAATATGGGTGTAATTTCTTAATGCACCACACTATTGCCAAGCACTCCTTTTCCACCGTTGAATATTTCTTCTCTGGTGGTGTTAATGATCTGGATAAATAGGTAATTGGTCTAATCCCGTGTTTTGTAATCTGATTTAACACACCACCAATCCCAACGTCGCTGGCATCGGTACTCAATTGGAGCTTTGAATGTCCGTCGGGAAATGCCAATAATGGATATTGTGATAGTTTTGAAGTTAGTGTCTCAAATGCAATTTGACATTGAGTTGTCCAGGTAAAGTCGTTTGTTGGTCCATGATGTTTCTTCCCAAATTCATTTTTCTTAAATTCATGCAGAGGTGCTGCAATTGTGGCAAATTGTGGAATGAAGCGGCTAGTTGTACAAATGAATACGCATCCTTTGCTGATTTGGGTGTCGGAAAATCAATAGTTTTACGTACATTCGCTGTCATGGGCTTAATACCATTGTGCGTAATTCTAAAACCTAAATAGTCCAATTCCTTCTTGGCTAATGCACATTTTTTGACATTTAATTTAACGTTGGCTGTATTCAATGCACCTAGTACTTCTTCAATATCTGTAACATGCTGTTTGA